AATTTTATCAAGGTTAGATTAGGGACTTTAGGGTACTAGGTCATCTAAGCGTCTAGGTTCATTACGAATGTAGTCTACTACAATGTATCTTAAATACGAAGTAATGATTAAATATTACTTTGATGCATGAGATTAACCCCTTCCACTTAATTGCTCTTGAAATTTTTTTAGACAAAATAAATAAATACGAGTAAATAAATAAAAATAAAAATAAATTTGAGCGCCTAATCTAAACCTTATTATTTGTAAATTAATTTTTTATTATATATATCAAATTTTATAAGTTACGGAGTAATTAATTAAAGAAAACTAAATATATTACGAGTAATTATCTTTGTAAAAAAAAAAGTGATGCATTTATTTTGATACAAAGAAAGTAAGTGAATTTTTGTACGATTTTATTTCAAATTATTATCCATACGAAATGAATCCAGTTTAGGTATATGTACCCGGAGTCTTTCCTCTACTCCTACCATCCAATTCAAATGTCTCAATAAATAGCTAATAGTACATATGAGGATGGACGACTATTCAACCGTGTAATAAATCCAAATTATAGGAATTACATACTCCCTCCGTTTTTTTTATATGCATCACTTTTCTTTATGGGTGTTTTTTTTATATGCATCACTTCTACATTTGGTAAAGTTATACTATATTTTATTATTTATCTCTCTTACTTTAAACCCCACTCAAATTATTTATCATTTCTCTCTCTTCTATGTCCCCACTTAAATAATAATATCTATTCTCTCTCACATACTTTCTCTTTCATGGTCCCTATCATACTTTTATTATAATAATTTATTCACCCACTCATAATATTATATTTATCTCCTAAAACTATGTGCATTCACAAGTGATGCATATAAAAAAAAACGGAGGGAGTATGTCATAAAAACATAAATCGGAAAAACTTTTTGTGTTCAACTGATATGAATGTAATCCGTATAATACAACATTGTGTACAATCACAATTATTCTACACTGATTGTACGCAAATTGTCGACTTTAAAAATCCATCTATATATCTTTTAAAAAGTCATTAGCAAAAAAATGTACGGCATATGTGCATGCAAGAATATAGTATGGAGTTATGGACTAATGCTTTTCTTCAATCCTTCAATTTGAGACCAACATGGAAGTTCTTTTATTATTTATTTAGTTTAAGCAAAAGCTTATAGTAGTACGGAGTACAACATAGGTAAAATAGCTTAAAGCACAAATAACATAATCTTTCTCTTCTACTCTTTTGGCCCCTGTTTATTTTAGCTAATAATAAGATATTTATATGATCATGAGACAGAAAAAACACCTTCATTCTACTCAGAACAACAGATTTATAAAACTTAATTGACCATGGCGTCGTTCTTGACAGTAGTTGGAAGCGAGGCGGCATCAACAAATGTGGCAACCGTCTTCAGAACATTTTTGGCAGTCCTTATAGATGAACTAGGCTGTTTTGGGACTCCAGGTATGCTTGATGTACCGCGGAACACTATGTGTGGAATTCCGTTTGCAATTGCAGTCTGCAACGTAACACGCCCGTACAAAGTGTTAAATGATAAATCCGATTTTTTTTAGGAAAAGGATAAACATAGTCTTTAGCTTTTAAGGATATGTATAAGAAGCTAGAAAAGGAAATGTTATGAAAAACTAACATTAGTCACTCCAATGTATGCGTGATTTTGTTATGAGTTCTCAACTTAATTCAATTTTAAAAAGTATATTTAATGGTTTTACATAATTTTAAGTATTACATATATATCATTACTCTTCTTTTTTAATCGTACATCTACATTTAGATGGAGTATTTTTTTTTTTTTTTTTTTGAAAGAAAAGGATGCATAGATTAATTGTTTAAGTTTACAAAAGTAAGATTAGCTGGGACGTCACTAGGCCAACAAAATGGTTATAACTAATCTTAAGGTTTACATACATATATCATTTTTTTTTTTTATTATTTTTTTTTTAATACGAGTAGTACATGTAAATTATATGGTGTATGTGTATGAACTACAAGTAAACTACTTCAAATTAAAATAAAATCAATTACTCCAAACCAGATAAAACCTTGTATTAATCATGACATATTTTATATCGACTATATTTGAATTATTTTTTAACCCTATATATATATTTTATATCGACTATATTTGAATTATTTTTTAACCCTATGTATATATATATATATATATATTGATTTATTGTGGTAATTAGAGGCATGCAAAAACGAACAGTAAATTATACTTGTATTAATTTAACTTGAAAATTTGTGATATAATCACGAATTTATTGATAAGTACGGAGTATAATATTAATTATAGCGTACCAATTTAGGGTACCACTATAAAGTATCTTTAAAATCATTAATAAGCCTTTTTAAGTATAAAGTACCATACCATTACATTATCACCATTCACCAACACAATATCATTATTTAATGATATTATTGTTATTAGATTTCGATTTTATTTTTAAATTTTTATTTTTTTTAAGAAGAAGAAGAAGAATAGATTTCAAAATATATACTACAATCAAAACGATATGTGAATTAGTGAATGTGATACAATAAAAAATGTACCATAAGAAATGTTGCCTCGCATGCCCCCGAGGACATACATGGGAAAAAAACGTGGATAAGAATTGAAATTAGTAGGCAATTGTACATCAAGAGCAAGTATGACTAGTCCCTCTATTCAATTTCATTTAATTTGTTTGTTACGTATCGATTTTTATGGTTCGCTTTTAAGAACTTTGACCTACTAAAACTAATATAAACATCACCATATTATATAGGATAGGAGCTTGTTGGGATTCGATTTTAACTGTACACTTAAATAACCTTTTACTATTATTATTTCATATTATTTGCAACTTTTGTCAAAATTAGATGCTACTCCTTCTATATAACAAATATTTTATTTTCATTTTAGGTTGTTGTTAATTTCTCTCTATCCCTCTCTCATCATCAATTGCATCCATATTTCTCTCTCTCTCCATTTTACACTCACCAACAAATTTTGTCTAAGAATTCATGTGGTTGGTCTCCAAAGTTGCAAATGATCTGAAATAAAGGTAGTATAATATTTGCGTATCTATGAAATAGGAAATTTTTTAAATTACCACCCAAAAAGATATCCATTTTCTAAATAACCATCCATTTAATTTTTTTTATTTTATTTTACCACCCCTTAAATTAAAAAAACTACTCAGATTACCACCCATTTCAAAATTCAAGTGAATTTTTCTTATGTGGGCCCCACCCAACAGCTCTTAGTGGTGATAGGAAGAAGATGATCTGTAGTAGTGGCAATTCAGATAACATGCTCTTGGTTTATTTTAGTTGTTTTCTTTTAATTTTAGGTTGTCTTGTACTCAATAAATTGGTTTAAGGGGGAGGTGGAGTGAAGACATGGCTGATTGTAATGCTTAGACATAGCCGTTACTAGCCATTGGGTGGGTCCTCATAACAGAATTCTATCGGAATTTTAAAATGGGTGGTAATCTGAGTAGTTTTTAATTTAAGGGGTGGTAAAATAAAATAAAAAATTAAACGGGTGGTTATTTTGAAAATGAATATATTTTTGGGTGGTAATTTAAAAATTTTCCATGATTAAATATATGCATGCATTTGATACTTTAAAAGCTAAAATATAACAAATACTTCCTCTGTTTTATCTATAAAATCAAAATAACTAACAAGAATAAAAGTCAAAATATATCAATTAAAATAAAATGTAAGAAGGAAGATTTATCACACAATCAACCTGCGCCTCGCAACCCCGAGGACATGCATGGAAAAGAAATGAGGATAAGAAATTAGTGGATGATCGTTAAGGAATAGTTCTAGAAGTTGTACGTACCACCAATACTCGTATATTGTAGATTTGTAGGCGTTGTAAGTCAAGTAAGTCAACCCATTGTTCTCATGTTTTTGAACTCCAAGTTATGCCACTAGTTAAAACCAAGTACTCCGTACTTCATAATCTTAAATCAAAAGTTTTTTTTTTTCCTCGTATCAATGCATATGTTTATCTTCATCAATATGTTGATTAATGAGTTCAAATTATACTCCAATATATACAAGTAATTTAACCGCCGCAATTCAACTGATAGCACGAGTAAAGGTTAAAACAAAAAATTTACCCATGCATTGCATAACTCTCAAAATGCATGAAGATGACATTTTGTAAGGTCTTTAATTTTTGAATAATTAAACACATTTTGTCATTTTGATTGGACACATTTATCAATATAAAACTAACCATCAAAAAATAAAAACATACTCTGTATTAGTGAAAATTTCTTTTAAAAAAAATTGACTCTTAAAAGGTACTTATATATTTTAAATTTAATTAGCAAAAATGATGATCACAGTTTTGATAGAAAAAAACAAAATGTATCAATTATTATGAATTAGAGACAGTATTTTGTAGTGCTTATATCCTAAGTAATGAAAATACGTCTATATATACCACAAGCTGCTCCTAGAGTCTTAGTATGAATTTATCCATGAAAATGAAAACATGGAATGCAAGTTTGGCCCATGCTCTTAATCTAGAATGAAGTCTAAAATTAGCCCAAAGCACAAAATGGTTTTGGGCTTGGAAACATCAACTTTCTTTCTAATTTTAAATTTTTTTTTTTTAAGCATATCTAATCAAAACAAGGTCACTATTGAAATATTAAGTTTAATTCTGTAAAAATAATTTTAAAGTTTAACATGTACACTTATTTCATCTAAGATTTATATCAATTTCACAATTTGGTCAACAAATGAAAACTAGTTGAATAATAAAGCACAATTTCACTAGTTGACTTTGTTCCAATAACCTTACTAAAATAAAAACATCTATGAAACATTCCATTGATTTTCTCTTTCTCAAACTACTAGTCATGATGATTTTCTTGAACATTCCAAATAAGTTCTTGCTTACCTTGGTACCATTATTTTCATTTATTTTTTGTGCTATTGCACAAAAATGTAAAGACTACGAATGTATGCAAACTCATATGGGACTGAAATCCGATTCCCTTTTCGAGAAGTCGACAATCAGCACAAGTCTTGCGGCTACCCTGGATTTGATGTGCGCTGTAATAATGGAGGAAAACCAACACTCGAGCTTCTTAACTCGATCACATTTGAAATCGATAGTATTAATTACGACGATCAATACGTTGATCTCAGCGATCCTGATGGTTGCTTGCCTTTAAAACTTATCTCTCTTAATTTATCCACCTCTCAATTCTATGCCCTTTATTTCAAAGAATTCGCGGTCTTTAATTGCTCGGGCCAATTTGATGACTGGGAATACAACAACACTTCAAACTACGACTTGAACAAAGTTAATTGTCTAAGTGGTATGAGTTATACAGTATATGCTGTAGAATCTTTAGGGGTAGTTTCTCTTTTGTCATCGACTTGTCAATGGGTTGCAAACGTTAGTGTTCCCGATTATTATGGTATTAGTTTTTCTGCAATCTACGAAGATGAATTAATGAATCCAAAGATAACTCTTCGCTGGGATGAGCCAAGTTGTAGACAGTGTGAGACATTAAACCGGCGTTGCCGCGTTAAGAAAGATTCTACTGATGAAATCGAATGTACATCCATGTTTTATTCAACTTCTAGTGGTGGTAAGTTGTTATATTTTTGTTTTACCTCATTTAATGTCTTTCTAACATTTCAAATAAAATCATACAAAATATACCATGTTGTTTATGCGAAAGTATAATTTTTCCGGCATTTTGAAGGTTTTATTTTTTAAATTTATATGATCATTTTAAAAAATAGTAATTCCTTCATTTTATTTTATATTTGCAATAGTTTGACTTTTATTGTATTAATCTGTTCCACTTTGACTAGCGTTGATGATTTATTGCTATGTAAAAATATAGTCATGTGGGATCTAATTAGATTTGTCTCGAATTATACTATTTTAATATCAAAAGTTTATAATTTTTACATATTTGCAATTAAAGATATTAACGATTGAAATCATGCACCGGCAAACGTGAAAAGTGAAGCATTGCAACTATAAAAAATATAAATAAATAAAATAAAAGCATAGGAATTATATAGCTTGGAAATTTATGCCCATGAATTAGTATAATTGTACAAATGTTCGAGATTTGGTTTACTTCGGAATTTGTATGAATTGATTGATAACTTCTATAGTTGTACAAATATTATTAACGATTTTTGCTGTGGTGTTTGTTGTTTATGGTGGTGTGATAGTTTTAGACTCGGAGTTGCATAGCAAGGCTTTTATACTTTCCTTGGGGATTGGTTTGCCGGTGTGTCTGGTGGCTGCATTTAGTTTATTACGGTGGTTTCAACAACGAAATAACGAATCACCAACGGACACTACAATGAGGGCTCGCAGTCATACAACCATAGGAATCAGCCAATCCGTATTAGATTCCTATCCAACGGTTGTTATTAGTGAGGGCTGCCAATTGATCACTCCTGAAAATAATACTTGTTCAATATGCTTGTCGGAATATAAGATCAACGAAGTCTTGAAAATTTCACCTCATTGTCTACATCGCTTCCATGTTGATTGTGTCGATCAATGGCTTGTCCTAGATGGTACATGTCCAATTTGTCGAGTTGTTCCAAGCCAATCATTGTCATAGTCAGGCTCGATCTCAAGATCAACGATGAACATGCATATAGCCTGGACATATGGAATCATTAGTGTATATTGCACTTATTGTATATGCTTTCAATCTCGTCATGGGCTTATTATTTGCGCTTTAATTTTGTACATATCTAAGTACATGAAGTTGGTGAATTATGTGACCCTTTAAACTTCAAAGTCTTGTAATTTAAATTTGAATGTGAACGGGTTAAACTAACCTATGAAGTAAGAATATAAATGACAAAAAAAAAAAAAAAAAAAAAGTTTGTTATCCATTTAGTTGATCTAAGGAATTGTTTAAAAGGGAAGCTTTTCTTTGATCTTGAATTTATTTTAATGAAACCAAAGAAAGCGCTCTAGTAGTTTGCAAAATCGCATCATCTCTTGTCCCAGTGATCCTAAGTGATAAGTCTAGAATTTTTCGATCACTTATTAATTTTGAAGTATCCTATACCCCGAAGACAAAACTAGCTAGCATAATATAGATGTAAATGTTTGAACATTAATGGAAAATTATGGTATTATCACTCGGTTTAGTAACAAAAGATTCACTAGGTCAGTGTGGTCTATTGTTTATGAGAAGAAGATATCAACAAACGTTACATGATGCATTATAGAAATTAATCGTCATGATTCGAATGTTTCAACTTTGACTTAACATAAACAATACTTGTATATGCTACTTGCTATAATTTAAGTACTTATACTTCACTAAACTTATATTTAAACATGAAAGAGCCAAAAAATAAATAGTTAATTTCAAGTTGATGATCAAGCTCACGCGTTGAGATATAAGACTAAGTAAATCTAAGAATCATTTGCTGATGAATTCAATTCTTTTCATTCAAAGACACATTTAATTAAACATTATTCCTATTTTGGTAGCATCATGGTGAGTGGTGACTAAATTTGTTTGATTACTTCTGCACAATTATATCACAATTATTATATTTTTATACACTATGAACATTTAAACACATTCAAAAAATCATGAACAAAACAATACTAATTGTTAGGTTTATGATCAATATTTTCCTTCCATTGTTTTTGGTTGCATCTATTACAGCAGACATACAACAGTCATGCTTAAAGTCCATTTGCGGGCGACACAATGGATATCTTTCCATCCGATTCCCCTTCCGCCTTATAAACACACAGCCTGAATCCTGTGGATACCCTGGCTTCGATTTATTCTGTGACGACTCTAACAACACCCTTCTTCACATACCAAGTTCCGGAAATTTTAAAGTTCAAACCATTGACTATCAAAGTCAACAAATCATGCTTAGTGATCCTGATAATTGTCTACCTAGACGACTTCTTTCCGGCGGCCTTAATGATCTTTCCCATTCTCCCTTTCACTACAAAAAAGTTGTTGATTTCATCGACGATTTTACATTTTATAACTGCTCAGAAAAGCACGAAAATTACACCGAGTCTATGCATAACGATAAAATTAGTTGCCTAAGTACAGTCCCTAATCACGCCATTATTATGGAGACAAATCGGCGTCTTTCTTTTGGTTCTTCTTACGAGTCATGGTGTGAAATAATTGGGAACAACGTAAGAATTCCAAGTGAAGCTACCTCCACGTCGAGTTTCCTAATAATGCCGCAGTTGTCACTTACATGGGACAAACCAAGCTGTGGACTTTGCGAGGAGAAGGTTACACAGTGCGCGTTCAAACGTGACACTAGTACGCTTGAAACTACGTGCATTGATTTTAATCCCCCAATCGGTAAGATATCTTCAAAACTTGCAATTCGATATTGTTCTATTGTGTTGAGCTAAGTTTTCAAATATTTTTTAAGTTGCTATTATCGTGTAACAATATTTCTCTTCATAGGTTTAGGATATACGTGTACTGGTGTACATATTTTTTTGTCCTAACACAGAATCGTTCATGTAAGATATATTATGTATATACTCTAGCGTTAATTACATAAATTCCCCGTAATTTATATTTCTCCCAATTTATTAAGCAGTATCAAGAAAGCTTTCAAAGAATGCACGCTATGCAATTGGGTTTTCGGTAGGCCTTGGTGTACCAGCAGTTGTAGTCATTATCCTGGTACTATATAAAAAGGTGACCCGATCTCGTCGTAGAGCAGCAGCAAATCATGACAATGATGGAAGAACTTCCGTTGACATGAATTTGCAAGGATAGCTATACATAGATGTAATCCATAATTATGTACTACGTATTTCTGTTTATGACTTGATGATCTATCGATCTAATATAGCTAGTCCTTCTATCAAGTATGTTTGTATGTTCATGTGTTTGCTCGTAGGCTGTAAAAATATCTTTTCCTTTTGTCAAATGCAAGTTTTATGTAAAATGTTTGTACAATTTTAAATTAAGTTATTATACAGCATATATGGAGCTGAAATTGATGAATTAGTTAAATCTTATAGTAGTAAATCAATTCTAAAATATATAGGTTCCTAAAATCTGTTAGAATTTAGGTGAGTGGAAGTAGTGGTGGGATAAAATTTGAAGTATTATTGCATGGGGATTGCTTACATTTGCATGACCAAGTGCTAGTATATATAGTGGTGTAGGTCGCTTTACATGCTCCTTCACCGACATACTACTCTACTCCTATCTACTAGCTTTCTCTAGATTTCTCTTAAGACACTAGGCTATTCTAGAAATATCTAGCTAATTGTAGATTTTACTAATTAGATTTTTCTAGATTACATTTTTAACACTCCCCCTTAATCTGAAAAATTTTGTACTCTAAACTGTACGTCGTCTTCTCAAAATATTCTTTCGGTTTTGTTGATGCTCTTGTCACCAACGGCCTCTGATGTTGTTTCTTCTTGTTGTCACCGAAAACTTCTAATCTTGACTTTTCTTCTTATCATTGTGTTGGTACTCATGTTACCAACCTTAATTTTGTTGTTTAATTTTGGTACTCGTGTTACCATCTTTCTAACTGATTTGATGCTCATGTCACCAGAGATCTCCCAAATTCTCCTTTCGAATATATCTCCTTTATTTTTCCTTTTAATTTTGGTGCTCATGTCACCAAATATTTCTGCTAATGCACTTGTCATTAGCAACCTCTTATTTTCTTCTTCAAAACAAGCTTTCTTCATTATCTTCCTTGCCAAAATTGGCAATTTCCACATCAGCTTTCTCGAACCTGCAATTCTTTCCAACATGGCCGAACTTTTTGCATATCCAACATTGTGCTTTTCCTTTGAAGTAGCAATCTGCACTATCATGGTTAGTTCTCTTACAAATTTTACAAAATAATTTATTCTCCATACCTTTGTATTTTGGTGAATCTTCTTCATCTTCACCCTCGGCCTTCTTCATGGACCCATTTTTCTTGATTTCTCTTGGTTTAAGAGAAAATTTTGCTGCAAGCGCGGTCTCCATCATGTCTTCATCATTACTTTGACGATTTTTTCTTTGTTCATGAGACTCCAGAGATCCCATAAGTTGTTCAACAGTTATGTTGGATAAATCTTTTGTTTCTTCAATTATTGTAACTATATTATCAAATTTGTCATTTAATGATACTAAAATTTTCTTCACAATTTTTTCATCCGAAATTTCTTCTCCATATGATTTAATTTGATTAACAATCTCGATAATTCTTGAAAAATAATCTTTAACCAACTCATTATCTTTCATCTTTAAATTTTCAAAATCTCTTCTTAAAGATTGAAGTTTGATACTTCTCACCTTGCTATCTCCTTGGAACTCTTGTTGTAGAATCTACCATGCCTCCTTTGCTGAATTAGCCCTCATAATTCTTGGAAAAATGGTATCTTTCACTGCATTTTGTATGAGATATAATGCCTTTGCATCCTTCATCCTTTCCTCCTCAAGTCTCTTCCTTTGAGCATCACTTAGACTGCTTTCATCTTCAGGTTCGTTATAGCCTTTGTCGGCATAACTCCATAGTCCATATGATCTTCCAAAAATCATAAATTTCTCCCCCAAAAATTGGAATGGGAAAACTTACATTGTTATTGGCCATTATATATTATGTTGTGTTTGGGCTAATATGTGTATGATATTGTAGGAAGGCTTTGGGAATTTGTGGCTCTTGATACCAAATGTTAGAATTTAGGTGAATGGAAGTAGTGGTGGGATAAAATTTGAAGTATTATTGCATGGGGATTGCTTACATTTGCATGACCAAGTGCTAGTATATATAGTGGTGTAGGTCGGTTTACATGCTCCTTCACCGACATATTACTCTACTCCTATCTACTAGCTTTCTCTAGATTTCTCTTAAGACACTAGGCTATTCTAGAAATATCTAGCTAATTGTAGATTTTACTAATTAGATTTTTCTAGATTACATTTTTAACAAAATCTAATTACAACTATTTAATAGAAATGTATGTTGAGTGTGAGGGATAGCTCATGTGGTTAGAGCTTTCCTAATATTTTGTTTTAGTAATAGTTAATACTTCCTCCGTTCTTTTTGAATTCGTCTCAATAAATACTATCATAATACTTCCTCCGTTACGTATTATGTGCAACATTTTCTAAAAATGGATGTTACACATTATCTGCAACAAACTAAAACTTTCCCCTTTTAGTAATTTTTTTACTTAAAATGACCAATGTACCCTTAGTTAACTTTACTAACACATATTAAAAGATTAAGATTATATGTTATTAACATATTAACAAAAATTAATTAATCAATCATCTAAACCCATCCCAATCTCTCTCCTCCTTCACAACCACCTCCACCACCATTATCACCAACTTTTCTCTCACCTGCCTCGTAGCCGCCACTGCCACCGCCACCACCATTTTTCTCGCTCTTCTCTCACAGCGACGGTTCGATCCACACCAGCCGAAATCGCCCACCCACCCACCCAGTCCCAACCCCGAATCCCCCTGAGCACCTCTCCTCCATTGATGTCTCCGTGAAACCCCCTCCCCCCAAGTCGCCTCTTTCGCCCAAACCTATCCCTGTTGCGCCGAGATCCACCGCCGATCGAGTCACCGGCCTCCTCCTCCATGATATTGTCGCCGATCCTTCTGGAAATTGAAATCCTGAAAATTTATTAGGGTTTGCGGTGGTGAGAGAGTGTGTAAAGGGTGGTTTGTGGTGGTTGCGAAGTGGGTGAGCTTGGTTGCGGTGGTTTCAGATCTTGGTTGCGTCGGTGGGGTTTCAGATCTGGATGGTGGGGTTCGCGATGTCGCGTCGCTCAGGTGGTGGGTTTTTGCGATTTATTGGCTAGTGAGGTTTCACGTTGTCGCAATTTCGCTCAGGTGATGGGGTTCCGCGATTTGGCTGGTGGGGTTTCGGATCATGGTGGTGGTGGTTACGGGGTAGGCCTAGGTAAGGTGGTGGTGGTTACGTGGTAACGACGAGTGGGGTGGTGGTGGTTACGTGGTAACGGCGAGTGGGGTGGTGGTGGATGTTGCTGCTGGCAGGTGGTGTAGTGGTGGCCATTAACTTTCTCTCCTAACCTTAATCACACACCTTTCATTTAGTTAATCAACATTAACAAATTTTATCTTGGGAAACGTGCAACAAGGTTTGTTGCACATAATGCGTAACGGAGGAAGTATATAACTTTTATTATTTTTACTTATGGAGAATTGAAGTTATTGATCATTAAAGTTTTGCATTGGTAAGCGTGATAGAAGAAACAGGTCAAGTAAAAAGAACAGAGAAAGTATATAATAATACCACTATTCAATAACTATAGATCTACGTATAAAAGAAAAAAAATTGATTATTAACTATTGCATCAAATTTTTTCCATGGAGGCGGATGCACAATGCTCCGTGCATCTGTTTTCATTTTAAAAAGGCGGATTGAACATTTAGTTGTTCAGTAAAGAACATATATACAGTTATTTTATAAAGAATATCTAGCTATTTTATAAAGAATATCACATATAATTGTATTGTAATGAATATATAGAAGTTTTATAAAAAGCATATAGCTATTTTGTAAAAAAAACATCTAACCCATGTGATTCAATTTCAAAATTTTTAAAGAACATTTAGTTTCGGGTATGTTGAATAATGCACAATTTCTTATATCAATTTCAAAAATTGGTCAATATAAAGAAAAATAGTTGAATAATGCACAATTTCTTTAGTTGACTTTAATCCAAGATTGCTAAATTAAAACAGCTACGAAACATTCCATTAGTTGTCTCTTTCTCCAATTACTAGTCATGATTTTCTTTAAAATTCCAAATAAGTTCTTGCTTATTTTGGTACCAATATTGTTTTCATCTTATGCCATTGCACAAAAATGTGATGACTACCAATGTGATTCAAGCATTTTAGGGACTAGAATCCGATTCCCATTTCGAGAAGTCGATCATCAGCCTAAGTCTTGCGGCCACCCTGGATTTGATGTGCGTTGCAAAGGAACAAATATAACACTCGAGCTTCCAAACTCGATCGTATTCAAAATCGATAGAATTTCTTATGACGATCAATATATTGATCTCATCGACACCGATGGTTGTTTGCCTTTGAAAATTCTTTCTCTTGATCTCTCAAACACTTCGTTTTATTCCCTTTATTATCAAGAATTCGCGATATTTAATTGCTCTGGCTACTTTGATGACATGCATTTTAACAACACTATAAGCAACGAATTGCGCAAAATCGATTGCCTTAGTGGTTTGAGCTATACTGTTTATGCAATAAACCCTCTTTGGGCTGTTTCTCTATTGTCGTCGACTTGTCAATGGGTTTCAAATGTTAGTGTTCCTGATTTTTATGGTGTCGATTTTTCTGCAATCTATGAGGATGATTTTAGTTTTACACTTCATTGGGATGAACCACAGTGTGGACCGTGTGAGAAAATAGACCGACGTTGTCGTGTTAGAGGAGATACTACTCATGGAATCGAGTGCACTACGAAATTACCTGGTTTGTTTCCAAGTTATAACAATGGTAAGCCCTTCTTTGTATATTTGTTTTAATATTTCATTTTCTCTTAATAAATGACATGTCGATAAAGTTTGAATTTAACTCATTGGAATATAGCTAAAAAACTTGGAGTTAGTCCTTATGTGATTGACAACTCATTGCCATCAGCAAAATATTTATTACAATCCCGAGGCTTCAACAATCAGCTTAATCTATACAATCTTGGGGCTCTAACCATCAGTTATAATTTTTGGTTAACTAAAGCTCCAAGGTTGTATATGCACTCTATTATTTTGTTAGGTCTTGTAAAGTTGTACTTCCTCCGTTCTTTTTTGCTTGACCCGCTTTGACTTTTACAATATTCACCACCCCTCCTTTGACCGTGTTTTGTGAATAATATGTAAGGAAAAACATATTTATGTTGGATTATTTTGAATTCGTCTCAATAAGTACTATCATAATATATAACTTTTATATTTTTTAATTATGGAGAATTAAAATTATTGACCGTTAAAGTTTTGCATTGGCAAGTGTGATAAAAAAACAGGTCAAGTAAAAAAGAATAGAGGAAGTACTAATTTACTTGTTGATGTTGCTATTTGTGGTGGTGGTTGATTGGACGGTCGTTTTGATACTTAGGGAATTCAAGTATCAAGGCTGTTGTACTTGCTTTAGCAATTGGGTTGCCGCTGTTTCTGGTGGTTCTATTCGTTTCCATGGTGTGCATTCGACGTCGAATGCAGAGAAATAACGAGTCAGCTACGGACAGTACAATGAGGAGGCGGAATCATACAACCATAGCAATCAGCCAATCCACATTAGATTCCTTTCCAACTGTTGTCATTAATGAAAGCGGACAATTGGCCACTGCTGACGATCATAACTGTCCGATATGCTTTTTAGAATACAAGATCAAGGATGTCTTGAAGATCTTACCTCATTGTCTTCATCGCTTTCATGTTGCTTGTATTGATCAATGGCTTCTCCTAGATGGTACATGTCCAATCTGTCGAGTCGCTCCCATTTAATCGATCTCACTTTCAGCCTCTCAAGATATGGAGTGCTACTACGTTACTCATGATATTAGTGTTATGCATAGATCAATCTTGTGCAGTGTATGCTTTCATTATAATATGTATGTAAATTATGGTGAATTTTGTGACTACTATACTTCAAAGATTTGTAATTAAATCAGTGTTGGTGTGTAACGGGTTAAACAAACTCATGATATAAATAAGTTTTTTACACATGTTCAAGCCACGGACCTATGTATAGTTAAGGTTACTCTTTGAATTTAAATACTTCGAGTTATTACTTAATAAAACCATCAAATCAAACTAAATACTGTTTAATCTAGCTCTTAAAAAAATTAATTAAAAAAAATCTAAAGTCAAAGTTAATACTAGCATATGAATAATGCAAAAGTCAAATTATTAAGATAAATTGAAATATAGGAAGTATAAAAACACTGAAATTTATACCACTTTCGTTACACATTATTTGCAACGATTTGACATAAAGTAGAGAAAGAAAATGTCTAATTGTTGCAAATAATATGTAACGGAGGTAGTATATAGATTGTTTATTTCTGAGGACGGAAAAATTATCAACATATATTACATACGAGTATACTACATTAGATGCTGCATAGCTGGATTGGAATGTCATGTCGTCATGATCAAAATGTTTCAACTATGACCCGAAATAAACAATACTTGTACCTTATATATGCCACTGTATAGGAGATCAGCAACAACAAAATCAATAGTTAATTTCCACTTGATCGCATTTACGCGTTGGGATATAAGGCTAAGTACATCGAAACAGCATCATTTGGCTAAAACTATATGAAATGCTGATCAATTCTTATACAATTAATTTCTGAAAAAAAGTCAACATTATTCCTTAATCTGACTTGCGTGCAGCATCATCGTAAGTGGTGACTCAGTTTGTTTGATTACTTCTGTACATTATAATTATTATACAACATAAACATTCAAGCACATTCAAAAATCATGGACAAACTAATACGAAATGTTAGGCTTATGATCTTTTTTCTTTTATCAATTTCTTTGGTAGCATTATCTACAACAACAAACACCAAACAATCGTGCATAAAATCCATTTGCGGGCGACACAATGGATACCTTTCCATCCGATTCCCGTTCCGCCTTGTAAACATCCAGCCTGAATCATGTGGATACCCCGGCTTCGATTTATTTTGTGATGCATCCAACACCACCCTTCTTCACATCCCGAATTCCGGGAGTTTCTCTGTTCAAGGGATAGACTATAGTAGACAACAAATTAAGCTTAGTGATCCTGATGATTGCTTAGCTAAAAGACTCCTTTCTGGCCTTGATCTTTCCCATTCTCCCTTTCGCTTCAAAGACTTTTATGACTTTTCCTATTATAATTGCTCCGAAAAACACGAAAACTACACCGATGGTGAGGACGTTTGGCGTCAGGAAAAGATCAGTTGCCTAAGTACGGTACCTGATTATGCTACTATAGGTGTGCAACCTGAGTTCTTTTCCCACTTACTAGAGCCTTGGTGTGACACAATTCGCAACAATGTAACAATTCCGGTTGATTCGATCACAGAGATTTCGAGTTTGAGTGCACAGATGTTGCTTGTCTGGGATAAGCCTAATTGTGGACTCTGCGAGGAGACTGTTAGGCGTTGTGAGTTCAAAAATGATGCATCTACTTCTCTTGAAACTGTGTGCATTGATTATGATTTCGCAATCGGTAAGCTTGCTAACTTACATTTTTACCTCCAAATCTTTTGTAATGAACTTTATATTAGAAACTCTTGAAATTAGAAATAGTCCTAGTTTATGAACATGTTTCCTATATATATTGTATTACCATATATGTTGTTAACGTAAATTCAATAGGGAAAGACAAGGATGCCCCAGTTTTGCATGGTGAGAAACAAATTTTACATGTCATATTCGTGAATAAACCAACAACCTTATTGAACTTTATTCAATTGTGAAGGCCACAATAATGAAAAAGTTGTTAATTTATTCACGAAAATACCCCCATGAGAAACAAAGCCAGTTTCTTACTATGAGAAACAAGGAATTTTCTGAGAAAGACCGCCATTTACTTATAATACTGTATGAATTTAACATGGTATCAAGAACCTCTCTGAAACTAAAGCTTTGTATAGCTAAGAGTTACTTGTATATTAATATTTACAAGTGTGTTATAGTGATTATATGTTGCTAAATTTTTCTTATATAATAGGATCAGGACAGCTTTCAAAGGAAGTACGTTATGCAATTGGTTTTTCAGTAGGACTGGGAGTACCAGCAATTCCAGTTATTGCTCTGATACTCTATAGAAAGGTGACCCGATCTCGTCGTAGAGCAGCGGGAGATGACAACAATGGAAGCAATTCTGTTGACACCAATATGCAAGGATAGCTATATACTTCATATAATTTACTGTACTATACTTTTTTATGAGTTGTTAACCATTTAATATGATGAGGTATGTTTGCAAGTTCATTTGTTTGATCATTGTAATTCTGTAAATATTGTAATGTTTCTAGAATGTAGTCCTCTAGTCAGATGCAAGTAAAATGCTGCTTTTTACATTAGGAATTCCCCTCGTGATGACTACTGACTAGTACTCCGAGTTTTACAATTGGTTAAATTCCGTATATTGAACATTTATAGTGATTCATCAAACTACGTTAACAAAGCAGACAAATAAAATCAAAAGAAGAGTAATTTTCTTAACAGAATCCTGGAAATTACCGTACCCCATCAAAACAAGCTTCAAAGAAGCAGTGAAACGCGTTATTTCCTGACGTTTCAAAGTTTCAAAACAATTTCCTAATAGTTGACTCAATATATAAGACAAAAGTTGACTTTACATAACAATTAAATTTCATATTATATATTTAGGCAAGATATAAGATCATTAAGACAACAACACTAACAGTATCATCATCGTTTTTCTTCTGTTTAGGTTGTTTTGCAGGGAGAGAAGAACGGCAAGAATCCAAGCCCAAATACCAGAAACAATGGATCAAACCCAAGCCCAAGACCAAGACCAGGCCCAATCGACCCAAGAACAGCAGCCCAATAAGGGGCTGAATCAGGAAACAATAGATTCCTATCCAACGATCGTGGTTGGAGATGTGTTGCATTTAGATGATAACACGTGTCCCATATGTTTATGTGAATATGATCAAAATGATGTATTGAAGGTTTTGCCAGAATGTGTGCACCGGTTTCATTGTGATTGCTTGGTCGAATGGCTTAAATTAGATGACACGTGTCCTGTGTGTAGGACTCATCCACCTCGCCTTAGTTAATTCATCAGCGGTTGATACTTTATTTTATTTGCAATCGATAGAATATGAAGTAGTTTCTACTTCCGTTAGAACTAAAATATTAGATGATATCGTTGTTAGAAAATACGAGTACTATATTGATTTATTCATAGATCGAGCTCTCTTTGCAAATTGCAACAAGAAAGAAAGTGTGCTATAGATTGCGATGTGTAACTTGTTGACTATGTACAATGAAGGAACTGCCTGGGTCTTCTACGCTTCTTTTTTGAGCTAAAAGTCTTTATTTAGTCTATTAAACTATACTACTCTCTATAAGCTATGTCATTGTTGTATACTTGGATTTTGATCTTGTTATGAAGGAAATAATAAGTTGGATTTTTGGCCTCAAATAGGTTTGCTAAGTTATATGACACGGACAAATGTAACAATGTTTCATTCATACATGATAAATTAACAAGGTCGAGTGGATTTCTCTCTCTCTGTTTTTTTTCCGAACGGTTGGTTGCATACTTGCACCTTGCACCAATGCATGAGTAGTTTGTCAATTGTCATGAAAGGGCCAACATACACCAAAAAGATTCAAACAAATGAATTGGACATTTCTTAAAAACTTTTCCCTAGTAGGCCCTTAGTATAAACGTAGTATATATATGATGACCAAAATAGCTTTGTTTTAGATTGATTGTTCCTTGGGGAGTTATATGAGATGTGCTGAAAAGCTACCTAACAGTCACATATATGATAGTTAGGCATGCATGAGGTCGAAACCTTCAAAATTTCTCAAAAAGCATAGATATTAGCCTTTAATTTTGGAATTTTTTTTGACTTTTTTTCACCCGTAAATAAAAATTGCCGAAATGTTTACCATGTTCCCTAGTACTCTCTGGGAGTCCGGGTGGAACCATTCAATTTGTTTTTAAACGACCAATTTACCGGTTTACAAATTGCACCGATTTTAATAACTCAAACTTACCATGAACATTTATGACAACATATAATGATCATATATGGATACAAACGGCATTATATGACCCCGAGATGTATCTCCTAAAATCTTAATGTTTTTCGACACCGGGCCCTGAAACATTCGAAATTTCTCAAAAAACGTGGATTTTTGAATTTTTCGCCCAGAAATAAAAATTGCCGAAATTTTTACCATGATCTCTAATATCCTTCGGGAGTCCAATTGGGTAGGTGGAACCATCCAATTTGCCTTTAAACGACCAATTTACTGGTTTATAACTTGTGATGATTTCATTAACGAACTCAAGCTTACCACAAACATTTATGACAATATATAATGATCATATATGGTTCCAAACAACATTATATATATGACCCCGAGATGTATCCCCTAAAAACTAAAGGCTTTTCGACACCAGGCCCCGAAACCTCCAAAATTTCTCAAAAGCGTGGATATTAGCCTTCAATTTTTGATTTTTTTTACTTTTCTTTGCGCGGAAATAAAAATTGCCGAAATGTTTAGCATGGTCCATAACACCCTCAGGGAGACCAATTTGGTGGATGAAACCATCCTATTTGCCTTTAAACGGCCAAATTCTCGGCTTACAAATTACACCGTTTTAATTAACTCAAGCCTACTACGAACATTTATGACAACATATAATGATCATATATGGTTCCAAACAACATTTTATGACCCCGAGATGTATGCCCAAGAATTTCAAGACTTTTCGACACCGGGCCCCGAATACTCCAAAAATTCTCAAAAATCGTGGATATCAATTTTGGAATTTTTTTTACTATTTTTCGCCCGGAAATGAAAATTGTTGAAATGTTTACCATGGTCCCTAATACCATTCGGGAGTCCAATTAGGTGGGTGGAACCATCCAATTTGCCTTTAAACGACTAATTTACCGGTTTACAACTTGCACCAATTTCATTAACTCAAGCCTACCACGAACATTTATAACAACAAATAATGATCATATATGGTTACAAACGGCATTATATGACCCCGAAATATGTCCCCTAGAATTTCAAGACTTCGTAACCGGGCCTGAAACTTCCAAAATTTCTCAAAATGTGTAGATATTCACTAGTAGAATAAACGTAATGGAAAGCGGTTCAAACCCCCTAATGGCAAGCGGTTTTGAACCGCATGCGCTTAGGAGGCTTGCCATTAGCCATTTAAATGGCAAGCGGTTCAGAACCGCTTGCCATTACTAGAGAAAGGGCAGCGGTTTTGGCGCCAAACCGCTGCCCATTATGGGTATATAAAATTTAAAAAAAAAAAATTTTTTTGTTTTTTCACAAAAATTGATACACAAACCAAATATATGTAAAAACATTAATATTTTTATTAATTATTTGTTGTAATATTACATTCACATCAAAAAAAAAATTAATACAACAATAAAATTAATACAATTAATAAAATTAGCTCTATATAAAAATAAAAAAAAATACTTAAAAAAAACACCAGCCACGACCACCAACACCAGCCACGACCACCAACACCAGCCACGACCACCAACACCACCGACCCACCATAATTCACAATCCACACCATGACCCCCACAAATATCAGCACCACCACCCACCACGACCCTCACTAACACCAGAAGCCCTGACCATGACCCACCTCGTACCTAGCCACCACCCCACACCTCCACCCTCCGTAACCCATAACCCACCCAAACAAAACCCACATCTCCACCCAAACCGTAACCCTACCACCACCCCACACCTCCAGCCAGCCCGTACCCACCCACCACCCCACACCTCCACCGTCCCTAACCCACAACCCACCAAAGCAAAACACCAATTTTAACTTGAAAATTTGGTTTTAAAGGTCAAATTCGACCATGAAAACACTAGATCTAGAGTTTTCATGGTCGAATTTGACCTAAAAAACTTGAAAACCCACACGATTTGCACGAATTTGCTCAAAAATTGCTCGAAATTTTGCTCCAAAGCTGCTCGGAATTTTAGTCGAAATTATATGGGTTTTGGTCGAATTTGTTCGAAATTTATGCGGGTTTTGGTCGAGGAGAATGAGAAATGGAGATTGAGAGAGGAGAGTGAAATGAAGGGAGTGAGAAATGGAGGGAGGAGTGAGAACGAAAGAGATTAAGGGAGGAGTGAGAACGAAAGAGATTGAGGGAGGAGTGAGAACGAAAGAGATTGAGAGGGCAGAGGGGAGAGTGAGAACTAAGAAAGAGAGGAGAGAGAGGAAGAGAGAGAGTGGCTGGAGTTGGTATTTAAAATGGGTAGGTTTTTTTTTAAAAAAGAGGCAAGCGGTTCACGGTACGAACCGCTTGCCATTTGGGCTTTTGCAAGCGGTTCAGCCCAAACCGCTTGCCATTTACAATTATGCAAGCGGTTCAGCCCAAACCGCTTTCCATTTATAATTTTGGAAGCGGAATTGCATAACCGCTTGCCATTAGGGGCTTCCCATTACATTTATTCTACTAGTGATTAGCCTTCAATTTTGGAATTTTTTGACTTTTTTTTGCTCGAAAATAAAAATTGTCGAAATGTTAACCATGGTCCCTAATACCCTCTAGGAGTCCAATTGGTTGGGTGGAACCATCCAATTTGCCTTTAAATGGCCAATTTACCGATTTACAACTTATACCGATTTAATTAATTCAAACCTACCACGAACATTTATGAGAACATATAATGATCAAATATGGTTCCAAACGGCATTATATGACTCTGAGATGTATCCCCTAAAATCCCAAGCCTTTTCGACACCGGGCCCCGAAACCTCCAAAATTTCTCTAAAAGCGTGGATATTAGCCTTCAATTTTGGAATATTTTGACTTTTTTCGCCCGAAAATAAAAATTGCCGAAATATTTACCATGCTCCTAATAACCTCTGGGAGTCCAATTGGGTGGGTGGAACCATCCAATTTGCCTATAAACGGCCAATTTACCGATTTATAACTTGCACCTATTTCATTAATTCAAGCATACTACAAACATTTATGACAACATATATTGATCGTATATGGTTCCAAACGGCATTATATGAACCCGAGATGTATCTCTTAAAATCTCAAGTCTTTTCAACATCGGGCCCAAAACCTTCAATATTTCTCAAGATGCATGGATATTAGCCTTCAATTTTTGAATTTTTTGACTTTTTTTCACCCTGAAATAAAAATTGCCGAAATGTTTACCATGATCCCTAATACCCTCCGAGACTCCAATTCGGTGGGTGGAACCATCCAATT